AGAGAGAGAGAGAGAGAGAGAGAGAGAGAGAGAGAGAGAGAGAGAGAGAGCGCTAACTGGGAATGGTGTGGGCTGCTGCAGTGACACACATCCCCCAACAAGACCACACTTTGTAATTCTTCCCAAACAGTTCCACCAACTGGGGACCAAGTATTCAGACATATGAGCCTATGGAGGCCATTATCATTCAAATCACCACAGCAACTATTTCTGTAGTTTAATTTCATAGGACTTGAACTTCTAGGCGGGAGTGTATAGATCATTATAAATCAGCAGTTCTCAAAATATAGGTCATGACCTCTTGGGGGTCAAAGGGCCCTTTCACTGGGGTCACCTAAGACAAACAGAAAATACGGATTCATAGCAGTAGGAACTGGAGAGGTGGCTAAGCTGCCCTGGCTGCTGTTGCAGAGGTCCTGATTTCCCAGCACCTGCATGGTGGCTCACAGCCTCTGTAATGGGATCTGTTGCTCTTTTTTGGCATGCAGGTGTACATGCAGACAGAGCACTCATAAAAAATAAATTAATGAAAGCAAAGTAAAACAAGGATTCATAACAGTAGAAAAATTACAGTTATGAAGTAGCAACAAAAATAATTTAATGGTTGGAGGTCACCACAGTATAAGGAGCTGCATCAAAGGGTCACAGCAGTAGGAAGGTTGAGAATCACTGCTATAAAGCCTTTATTTTTTAACTTTTCATTTTGGGATAGTATATCAGACTTACCAAATACATTGTAAAACTGATATAGAAAAAGTTGAGCGCTGACCGTGCAGTTAAACTAGGACCCTCTCTATGGATGCTGCTGCTCGTCTGTGGCTGCTGCTCTATGATGATGTCTGTGGCTGTGCTCTTGCTGTGTTCTCCCCTGTGCTGGGACCACCAGTGCTAACACTGCACTGAGTGTCCTTCACCCTTGTCATTTCCTTATTACTTACTAACTTACTAAGGCTATGATACCTTTTAAGAGCACTGTATTTATTTTATGACCAGCAGCCCGGTTTGGACTTGTCTGGTGTTTCCCCATGACTAAACTGAGAGGATACATTTGGACAATAATTCCTCAAAGCTGAGCTTGTCTCCTCCCTCCTTATATTCCTCTCTCCTGCCAGCCACATCCCTTCCTGTCTTCATTTCCCTAGTGCTGGGATTAAAGGCTTGGGACTCCCAAGTACTGGGATTAAAGGTGTGAGCCACCACTGCCTGGCCTCTAGTGGTTTAGCTCTGAACTTTGATCTTCAGTCAAGTTTTATTTGTTAAAACACAAACAAAATATCACTACATTTTTCCTTTTGGTCTAAAATGAAAAAGGAAAGTTTATAATATAAGAAAAACTACATTCAGTAAGTACAATAATTATACAATATATACAGGCAGTAAGTACATCAACAATGTCTAGTCCATTTGCATTTGACAAATTCAGAGAAAATACTCCATTATCTATCCTATCTTGGTGAGTCCAGAGTATTGTATTGCTGGGGAACCTCCTTCATTCAATGGCCTTTGAGATGATGGGGTGGCCTTGGGTACTAAGGATTTTGTTTTAACAAGCATGCTTGGGTTTAGAGAAGGAGAGAGTGGCATGTAAGCACAAACCCAGCTTTAATCTGTAACTGGACCGGGACTACAGAAAGACCACTTGCAGTACATGTCTGTGGAGAAGAGCAGGAACAAACATCTGGGAAGGTTTATGGAATTTTACTGTTGGAAATGTGATATACCAATAGGCCAGTTTACTCTTTTTCTTGGAACATTTTTTTTCTGAATGATTTGTCATTTTTCTTCAGATGTCTCATTTGTCCAGTGGTCTTTGGATTCCTTAGTTGGATACCTTTATTGTCCTGAAAAGACAGAAACAAAACCCTTCCCCAACTCTAATTTTGGGGAGGTTCTCTTTTGGCAAGTTCTATCTGATCTAGTGAAAAGCATTTGTTAGTTTATAGGTTAGTTTAAATGAAATGGCCATGCTGCTTGATGAACAATCGTCTCTTCTAATTAAGTTATTTATTAAGACCAATTAGAATTTGTGCTATAACAATTATGTTTATTACCCACAATCCAAATAAAATAAATTACCAAGGGGCTTGAGTGAGGGCTCAGCAATGAAGAGAAATTAACTGCTCCTGCAGAGGACCCCCCAGTCAGTTCTCAGCATCCCTGATGGCTTTCACTCCAGTTCCACGAGATCCAATACCCTCTTCTGACCTCAGCAGGCACAAGGCACACACTTGGTGCTCTTAGATACATGCAGACAAGACACTCATACACATAAAATAAATGTAAAACACTTTTTCAAGAAGATGGCTGTTTTAGTTTGGGTTTCTATTGCTGTGGAGAGAGACCATGATTATGGCACCTCTTATAAAGGAAAACATTTAATTGGGGTGGCTTACAGTTTCAGAAGTTTAGTCCATTATCATCATAGCTGGATGTCATGGCATGCAGGCAGACTTGGTACTGGAGAAAGAGCTGAGAGTTCTACATCTTGTTCCATAGGCAGCAGAAGGAGTCTGTCCCACTGGGTGTAGCTTGAGCATCTTAGACCACAAAGCCTGCCCCTACAGTGACACACTTCCTCCACAAGGCCACACCACCTAATAGTGCCACTCCCTGTTGGCCAAACTTTGAACACATGAGTGTATGGGAACCATACCTATTCAAACCACCACAGTGACTTATGGAATGAAAACAGTATTGCTTCTGATAGGTTAATAAAAGAGCAGTGTAGGGACTTGTGGCTAAAAGTACCTGCTGTGCTTTCAGAAGAGCCACCTTTGGTTCATAGCACCCACATCAGGTAGCTCCCACACACCTGTAACTCTAGTTCTAAGGGCTCTACTGTGTCTTCTGTCCTCTACAGATACCGGGCACATATGTGGTGCACATACATACATGTGGTGCATATATGTGGTGCACATACATACATGTGGTACATACATTTGGTGCACATACATGCATGCAGGCAAAAACCACACGTAAAATAAGTCTTTAGAAAAAAATAAAAGCAGTTGCTGATCCATGTACACGTGCTTTTAGACAAATGTGGCATTTCTCAAGTCTAAAAATGCTTAGTTTTTCATTTTTACCCCCTTTCTTTGGAGACAGGGTCTCACTATATAGACCTGGCTGGGCCAAGAACTTAGTGTGTAGACCAGGCTGGCCTCAGATTCATAGAACTCCACCTGTCATGGCCTCCCATGTGTTGGTATTGAAAGAATGCACTGCCACACCCAGCGTAGTTTCTAATTATTATAGAATTTATTTGGTTACTAAAGTGCTAAGGATTTGTTTATTACTTTTTATGGTAACATTATTTCATTACATATTTTAAAAGTATTTAATGTAAAAAATATTAATAGCAAAAACACAAAAATATGGAATCCTTCACAAATTTGCACATCATCCTGGTGCAGGGACCATGCTGATCTCTGTATCATTCCAATTTTAGTGTGTGTGCTGCCAGAGTGAGCACCTGTTGTGTGTTTTTCAGACAGGCGTCTCTGAATACATCCCAGCATATACTTGATATGCTCCAAGTCTCTGGAGTTCTGAGATTACAGAGGTTTGCCACCTTGCTGTTGCTAAACTTTAGAATTAATATGTATGTGCAAGAGGCTACAGCTTGGTGCTGAGTGTCTTTGTCTCACTCCCTTATTTTTTGAGATGATCTCCCTCAACCTGGAACCACCTGGGATACTTCCAGCTCATCCTACGCTGGAGCTATAGATGTGCGCTCACTGCCTTGCCTGTTTCTGGTTCTCATGTGGGTGCTGGGGACCCGACCTCGGGCCCTCATTCAGCAGTCACTCTACCATTGCAGCCATCTTCTCCAGCTTTAGGCTGTAATCTTCTAAAGAAAATTATAGCAGAAAAATTAAAAGTGCTAATAAGATTTTTAAAAATTAACTTAATTGGCCAGCCATGACGGTGCATGCTGTTAATCCCAGCACTCAGGAGTCAAAGGCAGGTGGATTTCTGTGCATTTGAGGTCAGCCTGGGTTACAAAGTGAGTTCCAGGATCGCCAGAGCTGTTATACAGAGAAATCCTGTCTTAAAACCCCAAACATAAAAACAGTAATTTAAACTTTTGAATGGAAACTATGGTATATATAGGCCTAATTCAGAGTGAGCATTAAACAGTGACTGAGTCATAGGCCAGGTGTGATGGTATTTTGCCTTTAATTCTAGCTCTTGGGAAATTGAGGTGGTAACATTGCTCCTTCTAGAGAAAGATCGACCAGGCAGCATAGCACCAGATTACTACCTTAAAAGAAAAAAGACCAATACATACTTCCTCTATTACTGTTGAGGCCCCAGACTTTCACTTCCTAAAGGTAACAGATAGGGCTAGCTGCTGCTTTTTCTTCTGCTGCTTCTGCTGCTTCTGCTGCTTCTGCTGCTGCTGCTGCTTCTTCTTCTTCTTCTTCTTCTTCTTCTTCTTCTTCTTCTTCTTCTTCTTCTTCT